GCCACCACCGCCCGGCTGATCCATAGGTTTTAAAATATTTTTTTATTCATTTTGCATACCAACCACAGACCCCCCCTCTTATCCCTCCTCCCACTCTCACCCCCCCCCCAAAAAGGTAAGTTCCTCCATAGGGGGACAGCTAAGCCTGGTACATTCAGCTGAGGCAGGATCAAGCAGATCTCTAGGTTCTCTAAAGGTCTCCACTTTCAGCCAGGTGGTCTTAGCAGGGCCTTTCTTCCTCAACACCTATTGCATCCTGACTTCTGTCCCTCAGCTCTGTGCAGGTTCTCAGCCTGTCTGCTGTTTCTTCAGCACCAGGAAATGCCTCCAGAGGAAGCGCAGGGCATCTGAGGGCAGGCTGGGCTGCTGGCACCGCTTTCTTCTTCGACCTTGGCTTTTCAATGAAGTCTTTACTTCCGAGTTGCCCTCTGGTGTCTTGAAACAGGATTTTAAATGCTTTTAATATATTTTTTTTTAGCATTTCATACCTAAGTACTCTGTTTACATCATTTCTACCCCTTTTTCTCTCTGCTCTAACTCCCTATGTCCCTGCCTCACTGACTCCCTCTCAAATTTGACACCTTCTTTAATATTAATCTCTCTCTCTCTCTCTCTCTCTCTCTCTCTCTCTCTCTCTCTCTCTCTCTCTCTCTCTCCCGAGTTTATTAAGTGTTCCCATGTGTACTTTGCTCGCATTATTGGCTCACACACGGCGAAGTTGTTTTGCTATGTAGACATGTTTAAAGGCTGACCACTTGGGATTGGATAACCTGTTAGAGGGCTCATCTCTGGAGAAAATGGACTCTTCATCTCTCAGCCTGTAATTCTTCATCTAGAGTGAGACCTTGTGAGATTTCTCCCAGCCATACTGGCATGTCAACTGGTATTGTCATTATGTAGGTCTTTTTTTAGGCAATCATATTCCTGACACTCTGTAGTTGCGGCCTCCTAGGATGTCTAGATATCACTATCTTAGAGCCAGCAGCCTGTTCCTCTGGTTCCTTCAATTCTGTCACCCCTCTTCTGTACATGTGTCTGTCGGGGTCACTCATTCTCTCCATTTTGACTAGCTGTGGATCTCTGTAATCATCCCCATCTGCTCCAAAGAAGCCTCTTTGGTGAGGGCTAAGAGCCCCACTTATCCATAGGTACAAGGGTCAGTGTTTAGAGCACAGCCAGAAAGTATATTGGTTTAGGAAAATGGCACCAGAAGGTTTTCCTCTTGGGTCTGTGTCCTCTCCAGCCAGCAGTATTTAGGTAAGGTTATTTTATTTAGTGTGTTTTTATTTTCTTGCCAGGAGCCTGACCAACCACCAATGTGAACACAGACATTCCAATGTGGTTTGAAAATTCTTTTACCAACACTAGTCTATTTTCCTCTTATAAAAAGTCAACTTTCAGGGGAAAACAGAGTGAAAAGGAGTTTCTTTGCTGTGTAGTTATGGAGACTTTGAATTAGTAAAGATATTTTTGGTTGTGAACCCAACCTTTAATGGCTGAGCCATCTCTCCAGAATTACTAAGAAAAATGGTCTTGAATTCAGCAGCCACACTGTCTTTCCCAAGGCTCTGTTTCTGTGCAGTATTCCACAGTCTTTCTGAAAAAATTCAGTCTCACACCATCGCCAAGAGAATGAACTACAGTTAATTTTTCTTGTGGAAAATTCAAGTCCTATGGGCTGGTCTTGTATAAAGCTGTATTTAGCCCATTCACTATTCAGGGTTTGTGGGGCCTTTTCTTTTTCCAGGGACACGAGCTAAAGAAAATATTAGTGTTTTGAAAACTCATGCTTGAATTTTATGTCTCTGACTCTAAATTTATTTTTCTGCACTTTCTACAACTTAAAATGTTCTTTTAGTAAATCACAAGGTGCCTATAAACAGGGGAAAGGGTGATTATATTTCATGCACTTAGTCTGTGAATTGCTATCAGTTACATGATGACTAGTATATCCATCTACTTCAACATTTCAAGACATTTAACCAATACAGTTGAGACTAACTGAATTTTTAGGAAACTGTCCCAGAATAAGGACTACTTCTTACCCTGTTTCATCAGGGTGGTGTCATTGTTGATAGGGTTAACCCTATTCAGGAAAGTCAGCTCTATGAAAATTGTGCTAAAGTTCATCATTAATTTAATCCTCCAAAGTGAAGCTCTACTATAGCTGATTGTCCATAAAGGATAATTAGTCACTGTGAGAACCATGTCCTGTACTCATTGGATCCTGGCCATCTGCAAGGCAGCCTGCAAAGCATTTCACCAGAATGGGTCATTTGCTCCTCAAAACAACATACACAAAGTAGGTCTTCTTAGATACATGTTCCAGACCTCCTCAAAGCAACATATACACAGAGTAGGTCTTCTTAGATACACTTTCCAGCCCTCCTCAAAGCAACACATACACAAAGTAGGTTTTCTTAGATACATTTTACAGACCAAATAACTGGAGAGCAGAGAAGCCCATTAACTTCCATGAAATCACCTGCCTTAGAGATCTATAACAGAGAAGATTGACTCAGGCCTGCCATTTTCCAAAGCATGTGATTATTCTAGCACGTCTGTTCTATCATATCATGCTCCTTCTATGTAAGCTACTGTCAGTAGTTGTATTCCAAAATGAAACCTCAGACTAGCTGTATAACATCATTTCTGTCTCCATCTCTCTTTCTGTTGCTATGATAAAGTACAAAATCAGCTTAAGGGAGGAAGGAGCTTATTCTGCTTCCCGGTTCAAGGGTAGAGGACATCAGGGCAGGACAGTCAAGGCAGCAAGAGCCTGAAGTGGCTCTTTGGATCACACCATGTCTGCAGTCAAGAGGCGAAGAGTAATGAGTGAGTGCTGCTGTGTGGTTCTCTCCATTTACATGTTCCAGGATCTCAGCCATGGATGATGCCATCTGTAGCTAGAGTTTTCTTGGTCCTGCCTGGCCCACAGTCAGGACAAATCTCTCACCTGCCAGTCCCGCAGCCGCTTAGACCCAACCAAGTAAACACACAAAAACTTACATTGCTTACAAACTGTATGGCTGCAGCAGGCTTCTTGTTATCTAGTTCTTATATCTTAAATTAATCCATTTCTATTAGTCTATAAGTTGCCACGTGGCTCATGGCTTACTGGTACCTTACATCTCGCTTGTCATGGCGGTGGCTGGCAGTGTCTCTGTGACTCAGCCTTCCTGTTCCCAGAATTATCTTCTCTGCTTATCCCACCTATACTTCCTGCCTGGCTACTGGCCAATCAGCATTTTATTTACACAGAGTGATATTCACAGAAGCCATCAGCAGAGGATGCATCTTCCCATTTCAGTGAATGCAGTCAAGATAAGCCCACACAAACATGCCTAGAGGTCTATCTCCCAGGGGGTTCTAGATTCTATGAAGGTGACAATTATTACTAAGCATCACAATGGCCTACTAGAATATTAGGTTAATCTGAGAATTAATATGCATATACTTGTTTTAGATATAGATATTTGAAATATGTATCATTATGTGGTTTTGTGGCTATACGTGGAGCAAACGTGTGTTCTGATTCAGAGCAAATATATAGTGTGCTTTCTGTAGGAACTTGGAGGTAAAGGAAAGAATGGAGGTGAGATGGTTGAAAGGTACAGGGGATAAACAGAGACTTGTTTATTATTTTAGATGAAGCCCTGGTAACATATTAATTTTCTGATGGAAAGGAGCCTACATGAAGCAGGTGAGATCCTTGGGAGAAAGGCTTGTGTTTGGAACAACATTCCAGACAAAGCCCTGGGGGTGACCTGGGGATTCTAAGAGAGTTGTTTAGGGTGAGAAAGGCCCCTTTTCCTCAGAAGCAGAAAGAATGGTGAAGGATGCAGAAATCTATAGCCAAAGATTAGACACCTTTGGAAAGCACAAAGTTGAAGGAATTGCTAATCTGACAGATACAATTATACCTCACCTATACATTAGCTTGTTCTTTCTTGGATGCTGGTAAGCAATCTGAGCCTCCTGGGCTGGAGAAAGGGAGTGGATTTTGTCTCACAGCACAGAAAAATGGCATGGTTATTTCCAGCAAGTTTAGGAGGTTTTCCTTTGTTCCTTGGGGGCAGTACCACAGTCCTGGTGGATGCCTGCATGGAAAGTGTGGTGTATTACAGCAGAAGTAGTACAGATGCCATCAGCTGCTGACTGAATGAGAGCAAAGTATACAACCAGGTATCAGCCAGTCGTGAGAAACTCTTAAAACACAGATGGACCTCTGCCAACTGAAGAAAGCAAGCATAGAAGACTTCACAGTGTAGAATTTCCATTGTGTGAGATTTCCAAGAGGGTCAGACGTTTCCTGACACAGAGCAGTGCAGTGGCTTGCTGGGCCTGGGACAGGGAGCAGATTGGATCATAAGTGGTTCAGACTTGACAGATTCTTTCCCTGGTGTTGTTAGAGATGCAGTCTTTCTCTCCTAACAGCATGTGATGAGAACGGAGACGAGCGCTTGAAGAGAGAAATGGTGACACACAAAAGGGACTAGACAAGGGCCAGAACCAAAGTGTCTATGGAGAACTGAGTGCCCGCCGAGGCTGAATTTGCTTATTTGTAGACTTGGGCCAATGGCATTCTTTCCCTTAGTCCAGAAACGTCTTGACGTCATCTGTTTCTATGGGCTCTTATCCACCTCTTTGGCTATGTGTCTCCCCTCCCAGAGTCTTTTCTCCTTTCTCCATCTCTCAAGTTCCACCTTTCCCTTAAACATCTTCTATTCCCTTTAGGTGAATTCATCAGAAAAACCAATGAATGGTAGGCTGGGCCTTTACTAATGCACCATGTGCCGAGAGGAACTCAACATTCTCCCCTCAGTTCTAAGTCTTGTCTCCCGTAGCCCCCCCACCTTCGTGAACTGGCTCCCCGCTAAGTTAGTCCGCGTTGATTTCTCCTCCTTCCCTGCACTGTTTTCTCCTAACAGTTCTCAACACATCCCCCTTGCCCATCTTTCCATTGCTTCTGTTCTCTGCCACCTTAACATTTCCTTTTCCATAGCAAAGGACCACCCGGCATTAACCCATCCCCTTTTTTGTTTTGAGGCATGAGTTTAACTAGGGAAGCCCAAAGGCCACTCAACATTTTTAGTGCAAGTGTACCTATTCTCAAACATGTTAAACGTGGCCACTTAGAACCCTGCATCTCCCCACTGTGCCGACTTCATTACCAACTTCCTTTTCCCAATGTTAACCATCACACATTGCCTCCATGCTCGAGGGACCCAAAGCCTAGGAAAAAAAGGAAGGAAAACTGACTTGGATTCTGATAGGGTTTTTTGTTGTTGTTGTTGTTTTGGTTTTTTGAGACAGGGTTTCTGTGTAGCTTTGCGCCTTTACTGGAATTCACTTTGTAGACCAGGCTGGCCTCGAACTCACAGAGATCCGCCTGGCTCTGCTTCCCGAGTGCTGGGATTAAAGGCGTGCGCCACCACCGCCCGGCTGGATTCTGATAGTTTTAATACTATCATCAGCTTCCAAACACAATTATTGTGACCTTGATAAAGACAACCACCGTGTAAAAATATTAGATGAGAAATAGATCTCATATGTGGAACCAGAAAGTAGCAGGTAGAAGATGAAGACAAGGGCCTCCCCGGGCAGAGTGATACCCCAAAGCCCCAAAGCACAGCACATGGAGGGGGTGGGGTGATGATTTGTTCCTTAGTCTCCATTTCAAATGATGAGCAAGGCAGAAAGCAAGCAGTGGTGAGGTATTTGTCAAGTGAATGGTTGAGTAAACAATGTACTCTCCAGCGATTTATATGAAGTCACTGGGTCAGACTTTTCATCTCTAGCATGAAAGAATTGAACGAGGAATCCCTTGGGCCCATCCCCAGGCCTGCAATTTGATTTGCCCTCCTCTTTGTCCTGTACTGCAACTCCCCAGCCAGGGACCCACATCGATCCACTACCTGCCCTCCTCCCTAGTGCTCCCACATAGCAGGTGCTCCTGGTATCTTTGCAAGTGTTTTTTTAATATATGAGTTTAACGACCTCTGGTTCTTGAAGAAAGCATATAAATGAAGATGCCATCAGTAAAAAAAAAAAAAAAAGTGCCAAAGCAGTAAATGAAGCTTATGAAGGGAAAATATGTTTATACTGGGACACAGAAGTATTCACTTTAATAGAATTTTGTGTGTAACAGCACAGTGCTGCCCAGTTATCCACTGAGATTTGATTCCTAAAACCTGTGCTATGTTGGGGCTTTTATCTTCTGACATTCAGGCTTTGCTACACATTTTCATCAGTCCAGTGTCTTTTTCACATGGACCTACAGCGACCTGATAGCCCTGCCATTTGAGAAAGAGCTGTGATTGGTACACAGGGCAGCAGAGCTGCTAATCTGTGTGCCAGGAAGTCTGGGGCCTCGGGACATGATCAGATTTGAGCTCTTCAGCTGTAGTGTCTCTGCTAAGTGCCTGGATGGAGACGCACTCAATTCAATTTGTGGCAATTATTCCAAGAGAAGCAAATGCACCCACGTGCATTAAACCAGATCGTCAGAGAGAAATATTTAGTGCCCGTATGTCCTTATCCTACAGTTAGAAAAAAATATATTTGAGACAAAGGAAAAATAGATCAGCTAGGGAGAAGAGGCCAGGATGGACCGCTCAGCAGGAGGGGAAGGAGGAGGCACGGTATTTTAGGAAGAAGGCTGCTGAGGCAGAGGATATTGTAGCAGTGAGCCTGGCGAAGCTGCCCTGTGCTCTTTTCCCTACCTCTCCTCATCCTGTAGGAAGTGTGGTCCCAGGGCAGCCTCTGGGCCAAGGTTGCCACGAAGGTGCTGGGAGACATTTTGTTTTAGCTCTGAGCCATCTAGCCTAGCCAGCAACGGAGTGCCGTGGAATTGTCTCATGTAGACAGGCCATATGGCTTGGACCTTCAAAAATGACCCTAAGATTCTGGTAGTATCCTAACCACGTTCCAGTTATTTTACAGAACATGAAAATGAATGTGCTTCAGTATAGAGATAAAAAAGGAAAAAAAAAAAAAAGATCTCCTGGTTTTTTTTTTTCTTTTTAGGTCTACAGCCCTCACAATGATTGAATACTTTTCATTACTTTTGAAAATCCAAGTCACTAGTACATTCTGTGTAGAGATGTAAACCCTTGGCTGCCCAGGAATGTTCAATTTCATTGCTGTTTTTAAAAAGATGCCAGCTAACTTGTATAATGGAATGCATGTCACTTTATGAAGCAAGTATTCTGTTTTTCTCAATTTGAATCACTTTGATATTGTTTAAAATAAGTTTCAAAGGAGATTTACAGTGTTATAGTCACATCTGAAACCCTGTGGCTTTGAGCTCACAGCCCTGCTTATAGGGAGCACTGAGAAGATCTCCCTCTAGGGCTAGGGCTAAGGTGGCTGGGATGGGATTCATGTTCATGCATTTGCTCCTGGTGATAAGGGACAGCTGCCCAGGGATCGTCCAGATGGCCTCAGCCTGAAATTTTTCTGACATCCATTCATTTGATGATTAGTCGTGATACTGCGGATAATTATTGATAGAGTCCTATGAGCAGTGCTTGCTGCCAGGCTCTGTGAATGATTCAAGTCCTACAGAGGCCATGTCCACACATTACCTTCATCTTCCTTTGCTTGGCCATTAATATCTTCACTTCCTATCAGAGTCATGTTATAAACCCACATTTGTGATAAAACGTTCCTTGCTGTAGCCTTAACTAGTCAGTCTCAAGTGGCCTGAGCAGGCAGCTCAACTTATAAAATATTTATAATGACATGTTTGAAGCCCAGAAACCTAACCCTGTGACAAAGATTAAAAACTGTCTGGGAACAAAATTCCTTTTAGTGGAAAAATCCTAGAAGAGTATCAGAGGAAAGGTCATAGAAGCCATGATAAAGTATGTGGATTCAGATTGAGAAGAGGTAGAGGAGGTAGCAGAATGGTGTGTCTTTGCTCTGTGTGCACCTGCTCAGGAGATGCTGCTGCTCCTCATTAGAGAATTAATAACTCCTTCCATCATATAAGCTCTGGCATCCCATATATCTGTATATGAGTGTGTAGATCTATGGTAATTCCTTTATTACCTATAGTTCTACGTGGACCAAATCAAACCTTATCCTCTTTACTTCCAGAAAGAACTTGGCATATGTTCGACAGCAAGGCATACTGATGGATATTGCCACCCATCCTCCTGTTCTAATTCCCACTGTAGCCTTATATTTCAAGAACAGTTCCCTACCTGTCTGATCCCGTACCCCTCATACACTCTCTGCCCTGTTCCCTTCCTTTTTGTGTCTGGGGAACTTAGGTTCACTTTCCAGGTCTGAGCCAAGCTATCTCTCCACCCACAAGATTCCAGCCCTAGATTACTACCTTCC